GGATCGGTTAGCGGCCACTCTGCATATCGTATTATTCTTTCTTGATACGCGTTTGCGACAAGTACGAGAAGAAATCGCGATCGCTCTCTGTGAACAATCAGCGATCGATATCATCGCTAAATCTTCGCGATTTGCTATTGATGCTCGGTTAACCGGCAAGAGATCTCGTGCGATTCACACATGAAATCAGTAAGTCCAAAAATCAAAGCGCTAGCTAACTTGATATTAATAAGCTCCCTGTTTTAATACATATTTTATCATTTAAAAGATATATTTTGCCATTTCAAAAGACGTAAATTTTCTGTAAAAATTTTATCGTTTTCTTTCTGTAATTAATCACGTTTTCCAATTAATTTTTTTTCCAATTCAATTCATCTCCAAAAACAATAGTCTGTAATAATCGGTAAATTCAAGCTTTAAAAAGCTCGTTTTTTGCAAATTCCTTGCAATAAAAGACTTATCGAAATTGCAGTAGAGAAGAAAGCTTCATTCGATCGTGATTTTTTCTCTTACAATGTGGAATTTTTTGCATCCTCCGAAGTTTCATAAAATTATCCTTCGTGGTCTGAAAATTTCCATTGTTCTAAAGGGAATACGGTGGCTATTCTAATTTATCTTCGCTACTATGATCGACTAACAGACGCAGGGTCCGTAATCCACTGATTCAGCGTTTCGTCTGACGCTGTTCTTACCTCGAAGTATTCCATTTCGGAAAAAAGTAGCAGATATTACCAGTCAATATTACTACGCGATCCCATGTTCTTCACGAAGAAATCGAGTGTGTTCTGGGACTGGGGGCAAAAAATTTTGACAGCGACCGGTGAGAATTCAGGAATTGTTCTATAATTTAAAATATCTTTACTCGCGACCGGCGACTTTAGAGAGGTGATATTGATTCGGATCGCGTCGAAATTAGTTGCATTCGTATCGAGCGCGGAAAAGCACACGAGGGGTTCTGAGGCAGAAACGAGCATTAGCTCTCAAACATGTCCGCGGTAGATTTCCCCGCGGACTCTAATCACGCATTGGCATCGAGGTATTAGCCGCGAGCTCATGGGACAGGTAGCGCAGGTTTCCGGCTACCGATCAGTCAATCGCACGGTGCATCTCATGGTTTTCTTTCTTGCTCATAATTTAAAAAAATATTGGTTCTCTTGCGCTGTAGTCGAGGAAATTTATGTTAAAAATTGTGATCGAAAGGTTCAATTTGTTGAAAATATTGCATTTTAAACTTCCACTGAATGCGAATGATAATGGGTAAAAATTGATTCCCTCTTCACAATCCTTCGTGTCCCGTGCAGCCCCTTGGCACCGCAATGCCCTTCGTAGCTTTCAGAAATACGTATGGGGCATGCATAATTCCCGCCTCGAACGACTCGAGCGTTTCACGCGACGAGTGTCGCGCGGATATAATCCGGAGTCCAATTAGCGATAATTACGGCGTGAATTGGGAATTCCTAATGGTAGGTATCCCCGTTAGTTCATTCGTTCGTTTGCGCTCACCGTGATTTTTGCAGACGGAGTAATTCGTGGCGTAAATTAAATTCGCTCCTTGCTCATAATGCTGACGATTCGTTTACGCAAACCGAAGAATTTTAAGTTACGTTTTTCCCCCGATGTCGTATATCCGTCGTTTCTTGAAATTTCCTCCAACCGCGATCGTAGAAGCGCGAAAAACGGCAAATCTGCCGCGTTAAAACACAAGCCAATTTTCCACTTGGGCATAATTCGGGCGCGACTATTCCGAGTTATCCTCCGGTGTTGGAGGCAGGAAACGGCGGGGAATTAACGTATAAATTGGTTAATAATTCGGCGCATTGGTTTACAATCTATATCGCGTTGGCATTAGCATTAAACCTGCTAACAATGATCATTTTGTTCAACCCTATGAATAATTCTCTTCGATTCGCGAATACGTGGTTGACATTAAACGTGCAGCTATTCATATCGCACATTGCATATTTGGCGTCGCATATATTTCTTGTGGCCTAGTTTATTTCAAGTCTTTAATTTTCTCTTTGATTGTATTTGTCAGAAACTATCGGTAAACTTTTCGCAACTATTTGTAAATGTCAATGTACGACAAACTAGTTCGATACGTAATCGCTACGTACTTATCGTAGTAATATCTAACAAAGGCGCGCTGCGAATATCTTTCTGTTATTATTTATTATGTATTATTCCGAGATATTGAAGTAATGTCTCGATTTAACAATGTCGCCCGCTGTGGCGAAGTCTCGTTCTGTAAAATGACCCGACAAAGCTGTTACTCTGAATAAAACATGCCGTTTAAACTAATTCAGGAAATTACACCGGTTTGCGACTCGACACAGTCGTGGAAACTATCGCCATTCGGACCATGTTGCGGGGACACTTGGGAATACCCGTGCACGCCACCGTGCAGCTTAATAATTTACTTATTAATTATTAATCTCAATTTACGTACGAAGCGTATGGGGCAATCGCGACAATTACATTGTGTCTCGCGCTCGCATTGGTTCCTGGCAAGTTATTGAAATTATTTTATTCTCTATCTTACACATTGTTATAATTTCTTTTTACTTGTCCATTGACAACGTTAAGCTTTGCTCACATAGCATTGTTATCGTTTCAACATTCAGTTTAAGTTAAAATAAAAATTCTGAAGCAATCACGAGGTGTAATTTTGATATAATAATTGAAATAAATTATTAAACACGATTAAAACTGTGGTATAATGATAAAATAATGTACGTTAATAGGAACGGAAGTTAAATTTAAAATGTGTGCGCTCCATCACGCTTCTCTCAATCAATAATTTTAATAATCGGAAGTACGTTTTACATACGTCTTGAAAGTAGATTGTGAAAAGGGACGAAATATCTCACCCTGCCCCAACGTGGGGGCAGACGCGGATTGACATTAGCACCTTGACGAACGAGGTCATTTGTAGACACGGGCATTACAACAGCCCGATCGATGGGCGAAGGGATGCGTTGGGGGCAGTTTGCAGGCGGTGATTTAAAGGTCTATGGAGCGATGATGCCTTAAGATTACTTACTCGCCGGAACATAATTTCCCGGCTCCCGGCTGCGTCTTCATGCCGTAATTTACGGAAACTTGCCGGCAACATGTTAAGAATGTCACTTCTCTCGCTCTGGCATGCACGCGAGGAACTTTATCTTATTCGGAATAAAACAACCTTGATTTCCGAATCTCTAAATTACTTTTAGTGAAAGATTAATGTTCATTTTTTAACGTTTTCACGCCTGATTAATTCATCTGGAAGGAAAAAAATATACGAAATATACAAAAAATACATTATATGTAATTTTTGTTTATTTTTACTGTTTTACTTCTCTGTGGGATTATTTCATTGTCAATTTATTTCCCTGCTATAGTAGTAAAGATTTTCTCTGGATAATCTCCTGTTACATGGGGTTCAATATGAAATATTATATGCAACTGTGCCTGAAACAGGAAGCAAAACTCCTTTTTTGATTAGGCAAACTTAATACGTTGGTTCTAACATTCCAGATCATTCCGTAATGTATCGGGTTGCACGATTCGCAATTATGCATTCATCGTGGTACCATGCGTTATTCAATGCGATATTGAATATCACGTTACCAAACAAAACATTGCGGAATATCGGGATTTCCTCGAGTAATTGGAAGGCTTGTTACCGAAACTATTACCGCGATCGCATTATAATTACACCCTCTGTGCTCAGTGCCGCGTTGCAGGTTTATCATAATTTCGTATACACCGTAAATAGGAAACCTGTTAATTGAACCTGACTGTTATTAACTTGCGTTGCCATTAACTTTGCGATACCTTAATTATCCTTAATACTGTTTCCTTACTGCTTTACGAAAAAAGTCTTCGATACGTTTTAACGTGTTTAGAAAATCTAATCCAGTTGACACAATTGACGAAATTGTCTTACAAATGTGACAATTATTCCAGAACTTATTTATAAAGTAATTTCATCTTAAAACAGTGTCATTTTCAAGACTTTGTTTTCATGGATACGTGGTCAATTTGAAAAGTTCTCGAAATGAAATATAAAAGGCTCATATCTGTTTATAATTACTTTTATTTTTCAACAAATAATTACTTTAATTTTCTTTTGTATCAGTGTACGTGAGCCAAATAATTTTACTATAGATTTCTTAGCTATCGAGTTGCATGACTTCATATATGAATATAATTTATCTCTTTATTTTTATAGATCTTTAAAACTAAAACTACATAAACCGATCAATCTTCATTTCATAGAGTTTTTGTTCCACAAGTTAAAAAAATTTAATTTCCTAGTGCATTTATGTATATCTGTACAAATACTTAATTTCACAGAATCTGCCTTTCAATTTGTATTCGCCACAGCATTCGCCCATTTCGTCTGTAGATAAACTAATGATTCATCTGGTACGTTAGAGATACCAAAGAAGGAGGGGGGGGGGGGGTATACGACGCTTTTGAGAAAGAGGCGGGGATCGCTGGCGATAGAACGGCGTATCGAACTTTTGGCAACTCGTAACTATCGATCGGTTGAAGCTTGGATGGTGTCCAGCTTCGACAACCGGGGGGGATACGGAAGGCTCTTGATGAAGTCCCCGAGAGTCGACTTCACTCTCTCCCCTCCGATCGTCTCTTCCATATCGAACCTGTCACCGGTTGCATGAACTCGGCGACCATTCGTGTCTATCATAGTTTCTTGTTGGTAGCCACATTGGGTATGATGACCCGAGGTGCGAAACTTTTCATTCGCTCACAGCCAGAAAGCAGCGTTATAGTTTGATAACTTTGTTATTTTTTTCTTCGATATTTTGTGAAAATTTTACATCAGTTTAATAGAGGAAATTTTTCACAAGTTAGTCTGCCAATAATCAAACTAAATTTCCCCAGAAAAATTTAGCTGATGTGAAACGCGTCATTTTTAACATTTTGTTATTGGCAAAATATTGATTATTTTTCTAAATACTCAACTAACCAAAATCATGAATTTTCTGTTACAGGATGTTGCTTCGTCACCTTTTACACCAGAAAAGCGGCTTTGGCAGCGCAGAACGCTCTTCATAACGTCAAGACCTTCAGTGGGGTAAGTGAATGACTTGATCTGATGTTCGATTGCGATAAGTATATGCTCGTGCGCGAATTTCTTAAAATTTTAAGTAAAAAGTAGAATTAACTTAATAAAATTGACAACAAAGTTTTAACTTTACGCGGTAAATTAATAATTCATTACTAAGAACTGCAACAATTATTTTGCGGTGTGAGTGAATACGATGAGATACGTAATTATGATACGCTGTCTGTATTGTGGGCACGTGCGATGGCTTCAGGATGATTATCTTTCGAACCAAGCGCAAGTTTAGTCACCTCTGATCATAAATCATGGTTGTTGCTGCATGTATCAACATTGTTATCGATAGAAATGTTTAGATAGCTTCAACGTATGCCGAGTACCGAATCAATTGCCAGATGCATCCGCTTAGCTGAATAATGAACGTTTACGCAGATAATTATCCGAGTGCCGATGATTGACCGAATAATGAATATTAATACGGTCGATCGTTCGAATAAATTATTCAAATCAATGGCGGCTCGATGAATCTTCGAGTAATCATCGATACAAACGAGCGGTCCGTCGCAAACAACATGCATTTACATTACTAGAACCATGTCTTTGGAGCAATCGACTCCTTACTTAATTGCGAAATGAAATAGTATAATTGCTTTAATGTTATAAACGTATCGGGAAACGGGGCTGTTACGACTTTGTTTACCGATGGAAAAATAGCGTAGCTGTAATCGTTATTATCACCTTTCTCGGTATTAATTGCGACAAAAGCAGCTATCAGAGTTGCAAAAATGAAACTAGTAAGTAAATTCATGTAAAATTGTATATGTTTATATTTAAAATAATTATTGCTTATCATTAAAATGCTATCAATGCTGTAAAAAGCTGGGAAATTTATGCGCGTTATCAACTGCAAAATGAGCGCCAGAGTTTTAACAAAGTCTAGGGATTAAAAATGGCGATTTTAAATGACATTGTATACAGAAGGACCGTAGTGTATACGCACGGGGAAATTTGAACAATCTTCTCGTTGGCGCTAATTGATTTAACTGGAGCGAGGATTAGAGAAAATTTCAAATGACGCATTTTTAAGCTTCTCTGCCTCTCCTCCGAATATCCGAGGGTAGGAGGCTCCCATTATGAGGCTCTCGATCCTCTTTTCGATTCAAGATAACGCCCGTCCTCGCCCGCTTGGAAAAATATTCCGTCGGAAAAGCAGCTTTCCTTTCTTCAGCTTTGGCGTCCCGTCGATTACAAGCGACCGGGAGCCGAAGATATCTTTGGAAGTGAGCCCGTACGATAATTACAGTTTCCCTGGAAACTTTCGATGCAATTACGAGACGTCATTATGAGCATTTAACCGAGCAGGCCTGGCAATTCCGCCCTTCCTATCCTTCCTCCCCGTTCCCAGCCGGTAACTCTCGTACACGCGTGCTTATGCCTGAATTTATGAGAATAATTATTATCGATCGAAAGAGCGAAAGGGCGTGCTGAATGTGCGACGATCCCTGCAAAGCCGCGTGCGGATCGTTAATAATGCTCGATACATTAAATGTGGCTGAACCGCGATAAATTGCATCAATTACATATGATGTTTCATTATATTAAATCTATGAAAATCTTTCTTTCTATTAGCAACATGAATTTAACAACGCACCGCAGTTGTTCCCTTAATTATATATTTATGTAAATCGCGTGATCCCTCTTAAGAGTCTTTCCATGTATTTTATTTAAGTCTGCCGTGAAATCTTTTTATTATCATTTTAATAATAATAAATTTTTATTCACCTAAACTATCAGGGGACAGTAGTGCACACGTCTATTGCTTTACAGTACGTGATAGTTACAACTTAAACCTGATTATTGTTTAACGTTAATATTTAGCTCGACATTGGTATTGCTTTTTATAGAGTAAAAATATTAAAAATATTAAATCAATAGAAAGTTGTATTAATTACGAGAATGACGAGTCATCGCGATTTAGAAATTGAAGCTCTTGTACGATCACGAGAACGCGTATTTCAACTTCTACACACTTCACACACATTAGATCCATTCTTATACGCGGGTAGCGTTGAACTTACGAATAATTTAAAGCCATAACACACGTGTCTTGTAAAGTATATTCAAGAAAAAAAAAACTTTATTGATCCATCGAGCGAAGCGAAACAACAAGCTTTTCTTACGCATCGCACGGCGGCAGCATCATCTTGGCATCGTTTCAGGCATCTGTTCTTCTGCAGGGATGACTGATCCGCACAGTCATTTAGCTTTAGTGAACCCACATACTCGAGCTCGATACATATTGCGGGCACATACATAGTCTACAGCAGTACACGCTGTTATGAACAATAGCGCGCAGTAAATAATTGAGAAAAGTCGAAGCAAAATGTAATCTTCCTTAGGAAGAATAAAACTAAAACTCATATAAATTTATTTGAATAGAGTGAAATAGCATAAGCTAAAATCTCTTTTCTTTTTTATTTAAAAAACAGACATCTTTGCGAGTATTACAGCTTAGTAGCTGCAAATGCACAATAGTTGAACCATAGCATTAAAACCACCAAGAAACTGCCAGTATACTATTTCCACCGCACATAGTATTATAAAATTTTTATAATGTACCCTTTTTGTAAATTTGGTTTTCATTTCTCAAAAAACTAACTGCAGTAGTTGCACACTATTTAAATTCTCATCCAATAGACGTTTTCTTTTAAACATTAGCAATATAATATTAAGTTCTAAATGCATAACATTCCAAGTACATAAAGAATATTATAAGCGTTATTGTTGAATTTTAATAATTTTGAAATAATGAAGGAAACGAGAAAAGGAAGCATTTATACAATAATAACCTGTAAGAGATGTACAAAGGATAATGTTGGAAACGATAATTTATTTATTATCCGACTTTACCTGTTCAGTTTACTAGGTGCTTTGTACATCAAAATACTTGTTACCGGTCCACTCACGAAAGTAAAAAAGCGACGGGCTCCACTCGATTTTCCTCGCTTCCAAAGAAGGTCGCGTGCCATGAAAGAGACCGAATCTGAGACTCTTATGCCGGCTATTAATTAAGGGGGTTAAATAGCTGGAAGTCGAGCAGTTGCTCTTCGAGAAAGAGCGTGCGACGGGCAGTGCTCAATCGGGAATAGAGTGATAGAAAAGAAATCTGGAGCGGGAGGTTTCTCTGATGTAGAGAAAGGGAGGAAAAAAGAGAGCAAGAAAGTGGGACGTCCTTGAACAACGCATTAAAGGAAGGAAAGTAGAGTGAAAGAGACAGAGAGAGAGAGAGAGAGAGAGAGAAAGAGGGAGGGAGGGAGAATAAGAGAAACAGAGAAGAGATGAAAAGGGAGGCGAAGGAAGGATAAGACGAAGGAGGAAGAGGAAAGGTGAATTGCAGAACGACATTTTCGCAATGAAAAGGGTTGACTGAGTATAAGTGGGTAGCTGAAAGGAGCAAGAGTCGAAAGAGGCGGCGGAAAACGAGGAGGACGCTCAGGGGATTGCAAACTCCGAAAGGGAAGGGAGGGGAAATGGTGAGCGTAGGGGGGGAAGCGGCGGTGTAGGCGAGGGAGGGTGGATAGAGGGCGAATAGAGAATGGCTTGTGCATTTGAAGGAGTTTAGCTTTTCTCGTATCAGATTTCGTTTCCACGAGTGGCGTCGAGTTGAGAGGTCTGTGTTGGCTCGGAGAAATGACTCGAGAGCCCGAAACCTCTTTCCCCTCTCTTTCCCTCTCGCCCTCATTCTCTTTCTCCTCTCACCGCCGGCTCCTTTAGTCACCCTTTTGCAACCTTTCCACTTTATATACGAGTACACCAATACGTTTCAACGCTATCCTTATTTGGTGCCCGACGCAGATTTTACCTCGCATGGGAATCAACGAAAGATCCTGTCGTTCCACGCGCACAATTCGGGTATAGTTGCGGTAGTTTGAGACGTAATTGTTTTACAATATTTCAAATTCAAATGGTCCATCTATCGTGTAGCATCCAAAATCGTATTGAAATATTGCATTGTGCGCCAAAATAGCTCGAATATCATATCGCGTTCAGAAAGGTACGTTTTATTATCCATTCTAAAAAATCCTCGTCTATTTTCGTTCTCTCAATGTGGAATCTACTTCATATATCGCCAAAAATTCGTTAAAAAAACGTTGCCTGCTATTTTTTCTGCTGCCAGTGAAAGTTTTTCTCGTGCGTGTAAATCAACGTCGCACGAAAGAGAAAAAAAAGGCATTCACGTCTATAATTGAAATAGCGGAGTATCCCGTGGCGATTTTGCGGCAAAGAAGGGGGAGGAGCGCGTCTGGCTCGCAGCCGCGAAATTGGCGGAAAACCGTGGCGAATTTACAAGCATGCATACCGCGCTCACAACAATGCGTAATATTATTAAAGCGTGGCGGGACGAGAGATATTGGAGCGTTAGTAGGCGAGATACAAATGGAAAATGAAACCATTATACGGCAAACGCTTGGGCGCGATCGATGAATGCGCGGAAATGGCAAGCAGAAAATTCCTCGTAATCGATCACGCCAACTATTCTTTTGAAAGATTTGTGTAATGTCACATAGTGCGAACAATCAAGAATGAAAAGTATTGCAAATTTCATGCAGACGCATGGAAGGAAATGGCTTTTTTTTAATATGTCAGTCACGTTTCAATAAACGTCATTTTTAAACGTCGTAATGTATTTCTAGTGTCATACTAACGTTATATGTTGGATTTTATTCAATTTAGATAAAGTCATTAAAGTTTACAGAAGGAAACGTCGACGTGAAATTAAATTAGCAATGAAATTTGCAAAAATGCTTCTTTGAGAATTTAACAGATTGAAGGAAGAGAAAGATATTGGAAAAGTGTCACTAAATCTTTCAAATACGAGAAAGAGAGACGCGATCCAAAAATGTTGGAAATATTACCATAATTGTAAATTAATACTACAGGCATATAATTAGAAAATTTGCGAATATTGATATGAAGTAAGATATGTTAAAATATTTGATGGACTAACAATA